AAAAGGCATGGATTGCATCGTCTGCTTTATGGCCCACGCATCGCAGGGTTGCTTAATGTTCTTCTACCTTATTCTAATAATCTTAACTTATCCAAAATAGGCACTGAACTCTTTATGTTTGATTCCCATTGTCTGTGTTTGTGCAAATCAGATGCCAATCGAAGCTGTAGTCCACTCTGACTAAAAATACTTTTTTATTCTTAAACCTGTTTATATCGTTTTTGGAAATTTCGCTATCAACTTAAGCTACCCTATGAGACTAATCTCTTATTTAATCTTATTACATTTATACATAGTCTTCGTCTCTTGCTTCAACGCCAGTCTAAGCTATGTGTAAACGCTGCTTGCATCTGTTTGGCTTTGCGGCAGCGTCTTGCCGGTCTCTTTGCTTCCGGCTATAAAAACGACCTGAGTCTAGTCCCATTTCATGACAAGTCATGCTTATGCCCCTGCGACACTAGCAAAGAGATATTTGAGAAACATGTCGATTCGGATCAAGGTCTGTTGAATCTTTTTTATTTTTGCACTTTCCTAATCTATTCTTTGGTCTTGTGAATCTTTTGATTCTTTCTCTTGATTAACTTTCATTTAACTCTAATAATTTATGCTTTTTTCTAACCTTATTCTGGTATTTCCCCCTCTAATTCATCAAATAAATTACCGAATACTTCAGTTATATTTACCTTGACATATAAATTATATCATAACTATTGATGATGTAGCAGTAAATTACATTTACAATATCTAATAAAGTTTTGTACTGATCCTCAAACTTTCAAATTCGCTGTATAGTATTGCTCTTTGCTTGACTGCATGCCTTCATGTCTATGAGAGCCTAATCTAAATCAAGATACTAATAATCCTCCTTTAGTTTTATTTTTCCAATTTTATTTTCTCTAGATTAACGTATTTCAAACATTAAATCTTGTGTTAACTAAGTATGACAATGTTATTAAAAATGTTTATTTAATAAGTCAATTTCTTCCTTAATTTCTCTAATTCTCAAAATAAAATTATTATAATATTCTAAGCTAAATTGAGAAAGTTATTCTTTCTGGACGCAAGACATTTAAATTTCATACTTTTGCTGAGAGGTTATTAAAAGACTTCCTAAGCACATCAACATAAAATAAGGATATTTTATGGAATGCAATTAAGCTGGGGCTTATTTAACTTGACCGTCTCATATCGACCGGCAAACTTATCCAGGTTACCAATTGGCGAGTTATTTGAAGATACGTAATATTTATAATGATGCCATGGAACTAATATTTCCACTTTCTCGGGTATTCTACACATGCATCACACCGGTAAATGTCTCTGCAAATTACAACTATGCTGAATGACATTATTAAAACTTTATATACTCACTCACTTTCAGGGGATACAGCTTCTATTATTTTTTATTTTTTTACGGATCCCTTTATTATCCTCATTAATTGTAATTTTTCATTTCCTGTCACAACGATAATATTTATTTAGCTTTTCTTATTTTCAGATTCTATAGTTCTGGAGGAGATATTTGCCGCTATGTCACCCAAATCGGAGGAAGATTTGCAAAATTTTGTATCTGCATGCCAGGCTGGAACAAATCTTCTTGCTCGTTAGTTATTTATCTTTCATATTCATATATTACGTATAAAGACCTTAACTTTGAACCGTATTCTCTTTCCTATTTCTGAATTTCGATCTTAAACTTTTATAATTTGCAACGATTCCTAGTTGTTATTAATGAAGTATTTGCCCTTCCCTAAGCTGCAACCGTCTTAACTAGCGCTTATTCTAGCAAGTTTATCGATAATTTTTTTATCACAAATAGCTACGTGATCGGCTAAGCTGATTTTTCCAGCCAGACTACGTTTCCCACTTTATGATGTTTTTTCTACGCTATTCTTCTCTATTACAAATCTATTTTCCTTATTTTATTTGTTTTTCTAGCCTCTTTGTCCAGACTCAACGATGAAGTCGAACGACTGGCTAGTCACTTGTCTTCCTGCCGGCCTTTGATTTCTATATCAGCAATGTCGCAGTTTTCTCCACTTCATCAGCTCTCATTATTACATTTAAAATCACAAGAAATATCTCGATCAACTATTGATGAGGAGCCGACTCATCAGTCAATACCAGTCTCGTTCGAGCGACTAGTTGGCAGCCATATAACAAATGATGCTCTTCGACCATTTGGACAGGAGGCACTTGTGGCTGAATTAACGAATCGACTGGCCTGTGCACAACATCTTCTTGCTGAGAATCTACCATCGGAAGCTAAGCAAGGTAAACAAATATCATTTTGGCATGGTTTTCAATTTCTAAGGTAAAGTTAGTTGGAAGGAATTCGTTATATGATCTCACCGGAAACTGAAGGAGCATTGGCGCAGTAAAATCTATAGTATTATGCGAAGAAATCCTTGGCTCACTCTCTTGCGTCCGCCTTAAGTTCAGACTTATGGGTCTTCTGCAACGTGTAAACAGTGGAGAGCTGGAAAAGTGGAAAATGAACGCATTTCTCTACAAACTCGTATGGTCTGCCAAAAATCCATAAGGAAGTCATTTCGCTTATGATTATTGTAAATAATAGAGGTAGCATGATGCACAAGACACCACGATTTTTATGTATCTATTTAAAGCAAATCTTCGAACTGTGAAAGTTTTTGGCAAGGAACTCTTACGACTTTATAAAGTAATTTAGTGGTCAGACGATAGAAAGAGGAGATTTGCTGATAAGTTTCGATGTAGTGTTTATGCACATTAATATTCAGGTAGACGAAGCAAGAAAGGCCGTAGAGCTTACATTAGAGCAATATTCTGAGGTCACAACTACATGACCTAATTAGAGTTTCAGGTCTTCAATGAAGCACTCATAATTTCTAAGACATTAGTTCGTTATATGGGCGATTACTTTACTGTTTGACAACACGGCTAAGATAGTTTGGGTGAATTCATTGAGCTAATTAATAGGATAAATGCTAACATTTAGCTTACCCTTTAAAAGGAAAGTAGATTGCCTTTTTTGAATGTAT